GCCACTTGTTTGTATTGATTTAAAATCACAAACGTCACTATGAATTAATTCAAGTGGTTCCGTTTTTCTTTCAACCGATTTGAAAGACGTTTTCGTTAGTTTTGCCTCCACACAAACTTCACATTTGTGCTTCACATCAATTGTGAATTTAGGAATGTGTTCCATGTTAATTAATCTACGTATAGAATTAAAATTAACATGTCCTAGTCTACCATGCCAAACATTGGAAGACTCAAGCAAGTAAGCAGAAGAGATTTTATTATTATTAATAATAGTCATTACATTGAGCTTAAACAGCCCATCAACTGCATACCCCTTCCTCACATACATTCCCGATTTGGACAAAACTAGTTTGTCCGACTTAAAGACCATGCGGAACCCATGCTCGTTCAACAAAGAGCCCGAGATCAAGTTTTTGCGTATCTTCGGGACGTACAACACATTGTTGAGAGTCAGCTCCTTGCCCGAAGTCATCTTCAGGACCACCTTGCCCATGCCTTCAACCTCGGAATGAGCAGAATTCCCCATCCACACCTTCTCACCGTTTGATGGCTCAAAGGTTGTGAATAGCTCCCGGTTAGAGCAAATGTGCCAGGTTGCACCGGTGTCCACGAACCACTCCTTGGAATTGGATCCAACGAGGTTGACTTCCGTTACCACAGCCGCTATGATGATGTCTTCATCCTTTTGCCCACCTTGCACCAAGTTCACGTGAGAATCTTTCTTCTTCCTTGGTGCCTTGCAATCCGAGGACTTGTGTCCATTCTTGTTGCAATTGAAGCATTTTCCGTTGAACTTTGTCTTGGAAACGCCTCCCTTGGGACCGAGCTTGCTCTTCCCATTATTTTTATTTTTGGAGCCCTTTGCATGCTCCACCACGTTTGCCTTGGCGCCATGAACAATTGGGAGTTTCCCATCGTTCTTCCGGTTATCCTCTTCAATCCGCAGACGGAGGATCAATTGCTCCAAGTTCATTTCCTTTCGCTTATGCTTAAGCTAGTTCTTGAAATCCTTCCAAGCCGGCGGCAATAAATGAATAATTGACGCCACTTGGAATGATTCACTAACTGTCATTCCTTCATCTCGAATTTCGTTGAAGATCATTTGCATCTCCTCAACTTGACTCAAGACCGTCTTCGAATCCACCATTTTAAAATCAAGGAATCGACCAACAACAAATTTCTTTGCGCCGGAATCCTCGCTTTTATATTTGTGGTCCAAAGCATTCCATAGCTCCTTAGCCGTAGCTAATTTGCTATAAACGTCGTACAAAGCATCATGCAACCCGTTCAACACGTAGTTTCGGCAAAGGAAGTCAGAATGCTTCCAAGCTTCAACCGCGTTGAAAGATTGCGCATCCACCTCACCCCCGGTTGCTACTGACGCATCTTCGGTCAAGAACCTTGCAAGACCGAGAGTAGTGAGATAGAATAGCATCTTTTGCTGCCACCTCTTGAAGTTTAACCCGTTAAATTTTTCGGGTTTCTCCACAGAGTTGCTTGGCACGGTCATCATAGGGATATCCCTTTGGTTGGCCAAAGCAGATGCACCGCGTTGTGAACTATTGTTCACCGGTGCTCCGCTTTCAGAGTGATTGTCGTTCAAAACATTCTGCCCAACACCAATCTCGTTTTCTTGAGAAGTCATTTTCGTTCTTTAACGTTTTCCGAAAACACAAAAAAAAATAAGTTCGTTCACCAAAGTGACAAACTACGATTTAAGATTGTTTACCACAGTAGAACAATCAGCAAATACGTTTTAAGATTGTATCCGTATGATACAAGCTCAACAAATACGTTTTAAGATTGTTGGGTGTGTTTCGAAAAACAAAGAAAATTAATTAATAAAGATTAATTAAATAAAATGACTTAAAGAAAAACAAGAAATGAGATGAAGCAGAATAAGCCAAAACTCGTGCTACGCACGATTTCCTTAAAGCGTATTCGTTGCCTCCCGGGGTGCTAGGAGCGTTGCAACGATCGTTTCGCAGGATACGATGACTTCGAACAATAGTTTAGCACTCAAACTAAAGTTCCAACGAACGTGAACAAAAGCAGAACACCGAAGGAGTTTGTATGGAGTGCTAGAGGTGCTGTTTTAGCTATGAAAATGCGTGAACGAAGTGTATGAAAGGTTGTGTCTTTGCAAAGCACCTAGTAGCCTTTTATAGGGGTGGATTAAGATGTGTTAATGGCTGTTTAAGGGTTATGATCGTTGGAGATCAATGTCCTAAACGTTGGGCATTGATTCCAGTCCTTAAACAACCCAAAACATTCATAGATTTTCGGACGAGATTCGTGTGTGCAGGTCGCCCGCACACGCAAGTCGCGGTTTTTGTACTTCGGTTTCGGGATTTGATTCGCACCCCCCTGCGCGTGTGAAAGAGTCTTTCCCTTTAGGAATCTTAACTCCTTAGGGGGGGTTTCCCTTTATAAAGGGTTCAAATTCCCTTGTGATTTTCGGTGTGGGAAAGAACCCACACTAAAATCCACATTTTCCTAGTTTTCTCCATTCCAACGGGTAAACTTCGAAAAAAAAATTCTCATTCACCCTTTATCCGTTTTGAGTGTACCATATATCGAATTGTAGCCCTTAGCAAGGACAATCCGAAACCACTTTGACCCGACCCAAATCGGAAGTGGACCCCACTCAAATAATTTCCCCAAAATGACCATTTAATACACTTTTAACACATTTTTTCCAACATATTTTTCACTTGATTGATCCTAGACATAGATTTTTCTGTGATTATTATGGACATTGTAGTACAATTTTGAGAGAAAATTAACAGAGTGAGCCTTGTGATCCTAGACATTGATCTTTCTGTCATCGTATTAGCAAATAGTGAGTGTTTGAGTATGTGAATTAGTAAATAGGTTTATGACATTATGACAAAGTCAAGTGCTTTCCAGTAAGGTTATTAAAGTGAGATGTTGACTATTAATTTTAATTTGTCCAACATAAGGTGTATAAGTGTATTAGCTAAAGTATTGCTTTAAGATGATTAGATCGAAGGCTCATTCTGGTTTTGCATTATCTTCTCTATTAGAAAAAGTCATTTTTTCTTATTTAGTATAATATGACCTGGGTTTGGCAAATTATTGAATGAAAATAAGCTGAAGTGTGGAGTTGCTTACATTTGATTGAAACTGTATTATCTATTAACAAGCAACCTTTAGTAGCACCGTTTAGCCAAGAGTATTGAACTTAGCAAATAAATTGGCTTCAATCAAGCATTGTTTGGCTATTCCTGACATATACGAGTATGAATTTAAAAAGTTATTGCCATCTAAAGTGGTTCATCTTTCGTTTACCCATCACATCTACAAAATCTTGGTTTGCTCATCTAAAAAATACACAACCAACCTTTCTGAAATGTCTCTTACAATATATTTAACTTTGTTTAGTGTTGTGTCTCATCTAAACTTTTTCATTTGTAAACATTAACTCTGAATTATAACATTCTTGCTAGACTAAGTTTTTTTAATAAAAGTGATAAGTATGATTAAAACATTACAATGATTTGAAGTTAATGCCTAGATGAAAAATGGTTGATATGCCATAGAGGTAGTATATGTGATATACCATAGCCCATAGAGGTAGTATCTGTGATATGCTATAGCCCATATAGGCAATATCTGTAATGATGTCAGCCTTTACTACTTGACTATGAAAGTCACATTCAGATAAGTTAGTAGAGCATTGGATCATGTAAAATCTCCATCTAAAATCCATTTTTTTATGATACCCCTATGTACTTGAGAACATTTAACAACTCTGTACTCGGTTAAGTTTGATAGGAACTTTTGACAAATTACAGTTTAGTCTATTTAAGAAAATAAAATGATGAACCTAGGGATACTAAATTATTTGTCTAAATATATTAGTTGTATTTTTAGGCTATAAAGCAATTTGAAACAATAAATGAATTACTTTTTTTTAAATGCAATATCAATTGAATCGTAAGGCGGGCATATTTAGCAACTCTTGAGAAAGCTGCCATGGTCAATTAACTAATTATGCATTAGGCAATTTAAACTATGTTGGGGGAGGAAAGGTAACTATACTATACATTTTTTTTTTGTCTATAGGATCTTTTACAAGCCCTCCTATAGTCTACTATTTACTATTTTATTGGAGTTCTTTTTTACTGGAGAATAACTTTACAGCAGAATCACATCTCAAGTGTGTTGCCATGAATCAGGAAAACAATATAAACACATTTCAGCCAATGATGATAAAAAAACATCATGGATGAGGCACTTTTTACATAAAACTCAATGTGAATAGGAGTGATGTGTCCTTCCAAAGCCAACTATCTGCTATACATCCATGCGTTTTTGTTTATCTGCTAATGTGTTGTGAAGCATACAATTTGCTATTATAATGTCAATCAGTTGATAGGGGAGGCGGGCTATTGGACTCTCATGATGGATTGATGAATACAATGGACCAACAGTTTTTGTTTATTATATAGGCAGGCAATTTTTTCCGAAGGGATTGTACAACTAGATTTTGTCTTAAATTTCGCTTATAAATGTCTATTTACCCAAATGTTTGAGCTGGACGAATGGTAACAGATAGAATGATGAATGAATAAATAAATTTTAGAAAAAAATTTTAGAAAAAATGTGTAGTTCCGATTCCAAGGTTTTGCAATGAACAGAGCTTATGCTTTTTTATTTTCTCGAAAAAAAATCGAAAATAGCTCAAAAAATCCCAAAATTACAAAACCCCTAATAGTTTTTTTTTAGTATTTAAAAGAGATCTAGGGGATGGATTTAGTTCACATTGGTAACGAACAATTTCGGGTGTAGTTCACAAAAAGCTTAAAGTTACTCAAGCATAAACCAACATTGCAAAGGGTAAACCAGGACACTTTGGCCATGTTTGTTTTTTGGCGGATTCGGAGTAAACCGCTGCAAAATGCAGCGTTTTCATTTGGAAAAAACAGCGGATTGAAGCCAATCCGCTATTAACCAAACGTAGCCTTTGTTTGAGAAAAAGAGAGTTGAGACATCAAATTGCTTTTTAAATAGAATAATAAAGACGCACAAATTAAACAAGATTGTCTAGACAAAAAGAGACATAAATGCTTATATGCTCAGGCCTGCCTATTCTTCTTCTTGGGGCCGGATTTGACAACCTTAAGGCTTCTGTTAACGGCACTCAACCTTGCCAGAGCTGCCTTCTTCAAGTCCGGTCTGTAATAGTTATCAGCAACCTGATTGGTGACAGCCTTGGCCATGCGGTGAAATTCCTTCTTCATGACAGATTTGTTTAGCAAATTAGCAGGTTTGTTCTGCTTCTTGGTCTTGGTTGTGGCCAGGAGAACAGTTTGATCTTTCCCCCCTTGAATTGTCACAGTTTTCTTGTTTGCTAACCCAGAGTGCTTGTAAGAGTGAAGATTGTAGAGATTGTTTGGTTCCTTGCTGAAGACAACGCCAGCGGTGCCATTACCCGAACTCCTTGACCAAGAAACAATTGTTCTTCTTTACAATCTCCCACACCAGCTGCCCCGGAACTGCCGCCATTACGATATAGAATGGAAACCTGCTGGGGCTTTGCTCAGATGTTACTGAGGAAGTAGGTCTTAGACGCAAACCCCTAATAGGTTTCATGGATGATTTTACTTAAATTTATGAAGGGAGAATTTGAATTTGCACCTCATGTTTTGGATGATATTTGACTTTGCACCCCATTTTTAAAATTATTAATGTATGCATCCCATTAGCCCAAAAATTGTGAAGGAGTGGGGTGCAAAGTCAAATGATTTTATAGTAAATTGGGGTGCATACATTAATGATTTTGAAAATAGGGTGCAAAATCAAATATCACTCAAAACATGGGGTGCAAAGTCAAATTCTCCCATTTATGAAAATCTGGCTTAAGTGCTTGAATTGACTGATTCTTCTGATTTATGAAACAAATTATAATGAAAATATATTTTATTAATTAAATAAAGAAAAAAAAGGAAAAGTAGCTAAAATAATCCTCTATAATAACTTCGGTCAATAAAGTCAGAAAAGTAATTTCAACCTTGTTTTTTCTTATTGTTACACAATTCAGCGTGCGAAAAAAAACGTTATATGTTTGATGAAAAAGTTAGATCATAAATCTCATAAACAGAAAAATATGGTTACGGACTAGTAATCTTAAGGATTTCCGAATAAGAAAACGGATGAAAAAGCTCTTGTAATACTAAGGATAATCGTACAAGAGCAAACAACCTAGAAGTTTGAAAAAGTTTTTTCAAAATCTAGTGGGAGGCTCTCAACTAGGTTGCATTGATTGTCTCATTTAATGTTTCTGAGGTAAGTACTATGTACCGTAGGATATACTCCGTATAAACTCCCACACCGTAAAACTATAAAATTTTAAATCTTATCATAACTTGAGCTTAGAGTCTAAGATGACAATTGAACTTAGTAGCATCATTCCATTAAATTTGTGAGTGTAAAATGTTGTACCTCTCTCTCTCTCAGTTTTTTGAAATATAATAGTTTAAATAGCTAATATATCTTCCAGAACTGAGAGGAGTGAGAGGTACATCCTTGTATGTTCACAAATTAATTTTTTAAATCGTTTTTGTTTGGAAAATCACACTTTTACCATTAATCATATTTTTCTATAAATAAATTTTATTTTAGTAATATTTTTGAAAAAACTACCAACTTCGTTCGTTTAGGTTTATATTTTAGTAATGCGTGATTAATTTAATGTATTAAACTCTTTTGTCCCATTGTATTCTTTGGACTACGCCACTCTACGTTTGATGGTAGCGATATTCTACTTTAAAATAAGACGACACTCCACAAAAGCCGCGTACCCCATTTTAAATGGGGTTTTTACCTTGAATATTACTAATTTAAAGTCAATTACCAAAAATGTGATCATTTTTGAAAAAAGACAAAAATGTGACTAAGAATGTCATATATTTGGAAAACATGATGTCACTGCAAAAATTTTATGTCACTGCCAAAGTTTTATGTTAGTTTCATATGTCACTTCCAGATATTGATGGACTCGGGCCGGGTCGGGCCGCCGGGTAGTATGACATGGGCCCGGGACCGGCCCGAGGGTTGGACGGGTCCGGTCCGGGCTGGGTCACCCGCCCGGGTCACGGGTCGGGTCCGGTTCAGGCCGGGCCGGTTAATTTTTTTTTTTTATAATTTATATTTTATAGTTTATAGTTTTATACAAGTATTAAAAACAAACTTCAATTGCATTTATTTGAAATGAAATAGGAACTACATTTGAAAATTAAAACAAACTTTAACAGATAAACATTTTGAAAATTGTAATCAATCGGAACTTCCCGCACCTCCCGATCTTTTGGCTTTGTCACATGACTTCATATGCTTGATTGTCATTCCGAATCCGCCAGAAACCCCCATGCTACATTTTTTCTCGCACCATTTGCAAATTGCGTACCACATCCCGGTCTTCGGGTCCTTCTGCTTATCAAAATTATACCGTATAAGCGCATTTTCTTCTCCCCTCCACCGATCGACAAAGCTCTCCGCCGCCACATCCCCATAGATCTCCCCCTTCAATTTCTTCATTTTTCTGTCCAATTTTGGGAGAGGCTAACCATTCTTCGTTGAGGATTGACGCTGGTGTGGAGCGGTTGAGAATTGACGTCTCTATAGAGCAATTCATCATCGTCTTTGATGGATCCTTGAACGAATAGATTTCCAGATCTAATATCTGGTGGCTAGGGTTGGGCGAAAGGGAGATTGGGTACAGCTACGACAAGTCGTGGACGGCGTTGGGATTGTGATGGGAGTTGCGAAGCTGGGACGAGGGCTGTGAGGCGGTCTGCGAGGGCCTGAGCAAAGGAAACGGGCTGGAGAGGAGCAGTGAGCTTGTGACAGGGGCTTGGAGGGAGATGGGGGTCGGGGGCTGGAGGCTGGGGAGTCAAGTCGGGCTGGGGCGGTGGTCGGCGGTGGTGGTCGGCGGTTGTTTGGTATGGTGGTGGTGTTGGTCACTGGGCAGTGGCGGTGGCCGACCGGAGTAGTGGTCGCGACTGTGGCAGGGAGGTGCAGTGGGGAGGGCACATGTGTGGGGCGATGCGGCGGCGGGCACCGGGCTGGATGGCAGATAGCCACTGGTTTTGGGGTGTTGGGTGGGGGATGGGCAGGGCGGTCTATGAGAGACAGACAGACCGGTGTGATGGTCGTGCCGACGGTGTGGCATGCGGCGGCGTGAGATGGGTCACTATCCGGCCATGGAGGTGACTATTTTCCGTAAAAAGTCACCTAAAATTTTTCCGACGATCACAGTGACAAGATTTACGGCAACAATGACATCCAAAAGCGACACGAAAGTCGGTAATGACATTCAAAAGTGACATAAAAATCTGGAAGTGACATTTGAAACTAACATAAAACTTTGGCAATGACATAAAAGTTTTGCAGTGACATCATGTTTTCAAAAAGGATCACATTTTTTGTAATTGACTTTAAATTAGTAATATTCAAGGTAAAAACCCCATTAAAATGGGGTACGTGACTTTTGTGGAGTGTCGTCTTATTTTAAAGTAGAATATCGCTACCATCAAACGTATAGTGGCGTAGTCCAAAGAATATATTGGATAAAAGAGTTTAATACATTAAATTAATCACGCATTACTAAAATAAAAACCTAAACTAACAAAGTTGGTTGTTTTTTCAAAAATATTACTGAAATAAAATTTATTTATAGAAAAATATGATTAATGGTAAAAGTGCGATTTTCCAAACAAAAACGATTTAAAAAATTAATTTGTGAACATGCAAGGATGTACCTCTCACTCCTCTCAGTTCTGGAAGATATATTAGCTATTTAAACTATTATATTTCAAAGAACTGAGAAAGAGGGAGGTACAACATTTTACACTCACAAATTTAATGGAATGCTGCTACTAAGTTCAATTGTTATCTTAGACTCTAAGCTCAAGTTATGATAAGATTTAAAATTTTGTAGTTTTACGGTGTGGGAGTTTATACGGAGTATATCCTACGGTACATAGTACTTACCTCACAAACATTAAATGAGACAATCAATGCAACCTAGTTGAGAGCCTCCCACTAGATTTTGGAAAAACTTTTTCAAACTTCTAGGTTGTTGTCTCTCGTACGATTATCCTCAGTATTACGAGAGCTTTTTCATCCGTTTTCTTATTCGGAAATCCTTAAGATTACTAGTCCGTAACCATATTTTTCTGTTTATGAGATTTATGATCTAACTTTTTCATCAAACATATAACGTTTTTTTTCGCACGTTGAATTGTGTAACAATAAGAAAAAATAAGGTTGAAATTACTTTTCTGACTTTATTGACCGAAGTTATTATAGAGGATTATTTTAGCTACTTTTCCTTTTTTTTCTTTATTTAATTAATAAAATATATTTTCATTATAATTTGTTTCATAAATCAGAAGAATCAGTCAATTCAAGCACTTAAGCCAGATTTTCATAAATGGGAGAATTTGACTTTGCACCCCATGTTTTGAGTGATATTTGATTTTGCACCATATTTTCAAAATCATTAATGTATGCACCCCAATTTACTATAAAATCATTTGACTTTGCACCCCACTCCTTCACAATTTTTGGGCTAATAGGGTGCATACATTAATAATTTTAAAAATGGGGTGCAAAGTCAAATATCACCCAAAACATGATGTGCAAATTCAAATTCTCCCTTCATAAATTTAAGTAGAATCATCAATGAAAGCCTATTAGGGGTTTTGTAATTTTGGGATTTTTTGAGCTATTTTCGATTTTTTTTTCTAGAAAATAAAAAAGCATAAGCTCTGTTCATTGCAAAACCTTGGAATCGGAACTACACTGATCAATTTGAAGAGGAAGGTAGATCGGGGTTCGCCATCTCTGGGCGCACCTACGCATTTACTTTCCTACCGCTGGGGTTGCCTGTAGCCGGAGAAATGAAATAGCGGTTGCAGCGGGTACTGTTCACCGGCGACGGTTTTCTGCAATTCCCGGCCAATTCCGACGGTCAAAAGTGATTTTGGACGGTTGTTGGAGGCTCTCCGTGAGATTCCGCGTCTACTTGGTGGGCTACTGTTCATCTGCGCAGCACGGGATACGTGGTCTGTTGATTACAAAAAAAAAGGATGACACCTCATCCTTGAGAGCCCCCCAACCCCGACCGAACAGTACGTTGGGAGGATGTAAGTTGGAATATAATCCCAATCTGACAGATAGAGAGTGTGGCTCTTTCCCTGGTACTTGCATATATTACAAATTGTTAAAGACCTCTTTGTATACAACATTTAAAGTGGAGTTTGTCGGTCTACCATTATCGTCACATATCAAAAACTTCAAACCAGTTGGACTCGTGACTCTTGATACAGCAACATAAAGCTGCCCATGGGTGAAAACCGGTCGCCGTAAGAATATCCCCACATTTTCCAATGACTGGCCCTGACTCTTATTTATAGTCATAGCATAACTAACCATCAGAGGGAATTGTCTACGCTGAAAGGTGAATGGCAGTCTGACATCAGAAGGAGTCAAGGTAAGACGGGGAATGAAATGTTTTTGGCCGGCAGTTGGCCCTGACAACATTTGGGCCTCAATAACATGCTTTCCAAGTCGGGTCACTAAAAGTCGAGTGCCATTACACAAACCCAATGATTGATCAAGATTCCTCATAAGCATCACAGGGGCACCCACTTTTAATTTGAGCTCATGGCTAGGTACTCCGGAACATTTGATTCCATTAAGGAATTCTGGAGAATGGATCTCTTGCAACAAACTACTATCAGAATCAGATAATGATGCAGAATCGGAGCTGAAATATATCTTCATCTCTGATGGTAGTTGTGCGAGCATGTAATCATTAACCTTGTCCACCTCGTCAACTGTTGGCGCAAGTATTGCTCTTGACATTAAATATGATGGTGATGTGCATTGTGCTAAGAAATTGGGATATGTACTCTGGACAATAGAAGTAACTGGATCAGAAATCCAAGGCACGAGGAATTCTTCAGGTATGTCAATATATGATTCTCCATCCTCATTGTCACCTAGAACTCCGTCCCCTATCTTTAAAATCCAATCAATGAACCTTTTTATGTATGCAGAGTTAACATCGTCTGATCCACTTCGCACTCTCATGTTCTTCGTTAGCCTTAGTACCTTGCAAAAGGGCCAAATGAAGGATGAGTTTAAAGTCGCCAGCACAATTTCTTGCCTGCTACCCTTTGGAATTACCGGTAAAATCTGTCTAAAGTCTCCGCCAAAGACAATTGTCTTTCCACCAAAAGGTTTGCTCCCATCACAACCGTATGAATGTCGAAGAATATCCCGCATGGTTCGATCAAGAGCTTCATAGCAGTACTTATTAATCATGGGTGCCTCGTCCCAAATAATCAATTTCGTCATTTGAATTAGCTTCGCAAGTGCACTTCCTGGCTTTATGTTGCAAGTTGAATCTTCTGCTGCTGTGAGTGGGATTTTAAACCTAGAAGTTACAATTCATTTTGTTAGTATTTATTTGGAGTTATAAGTTTTAAACCAAAAAAGCGAACCTGGAATGTGTCGTTCTTCCACCTGGAAGGAGCAATGATGCGATCGCACTTGAAGCTACGTTCAACACAATATTTCCTTGATGCCTTATATATGCTGATAAGGTCTTCCACAGATATGTTTTCCCTGTACCGCCGTGCCCATATAAGAAGAACACACCGCCACGGTTGGCCTCTACAGAACTCACTATTGTCTCATAAACACGCCTTTGATCCTCCGTCAAGGCGGAAATTAATTTAGCATGTTCCTCCGCCAAAGCAAGTCTGTCATATCTCAATTCCTCGTGTATCAAAACATCATCGAGAGAGGGAATGTCAAGATCCGTCACTCGAGGCATTCCGTCATAGTAGAATAGAGACTTTCCACGATGTTGTAGAATTTTTTCAACTTCCAACAAACAATAATTCTTTATTTGCTTCTCATCAAGCTGCAGTTCTGTAAAAAACATAATGGTTAGTGCAATTTTAATATTAATAAATTTAAGAAGTAATTAGAATATTTTTTAAATTTCTAAATGCTTAAATAATTAAATTTGTGTGTATCATAAACAAACAACACATCTTTAAATATGATGTTGTGGAAACAAATTATTAAACCAACTACTATCTAAAAAATAGTTTATTAAATTATATATATTGAACTATTTTTGAACACTTTTTAAGAGAAGTACTTCATATTTAAAAATTATCTATGACATAAGAGTAAATTTTACCCTGAGATCAATATGCAATTTATTACAATAAAAAGTTTCAATTTTTTGATATTAGTGAATAATGATCGTTAACTATAATATATATGAAAAGGTAATTTTTAATTTCAAAATATCTTGCATATTGTAAATCTACATCACTCTTAATATTGGCATTTATTGAATTTATCTAAATTTTAGGAATGCCATTAAATAATAAACATACCTTGATCATTGAGATTCTTCCTAATAGTGTAGAGTATATCATCAGATAGATATGGCCAACACTTCTCCCAAACCATACTGGGCATAGATAATGACTCTTGTAGTAAAAGATGAACAAATGTGACGCGAAGTTCATGCGCTGTTGCCCAATGACTTTGTTCTATAAGTCCATCTATATAGTCTTTATCGTCATTTAACATACCACGTGCAGAGCAAGCTTCTCTGAACGTCGAGTGTATGACTCCATCAACTGTTCTGAGTTCTTCAAAACTCCTGGCCCCCTTCACGACACCAAGGAGCATCCTTAAATAATATTTCTCTCCGGCTCCAGGTCGCATGAAGTATAGTCTTCCAATTGCGGTGCTTCTTTGTCTTGGTACCCACTCTCTTGTTTCGGTTTTCCACGTGAACTTGGTAGGAAATTCAGCATAAGTCAAGCTCCTAGCTTGAGGATACACACTGTTTGCATGCATCCAAGCTAGAAACTTAGTAGTGTGGATAGTAGGACGTCTAAGAACAGAACTGACAGACTCTTTAGGATTATAGTACACACTATGTTGCCCAGGGAGATGAAAGCTTAGACGTTCAACTGCGACGTCCCTATAATGAATGTGAAATCCAAAGATTCTCCAAGCCGCTTCACATGCAGAGATATATCTACAATCGTAATACATTTTGATCTCATCAACCTTTTCTACCTTACGATTGTCGGATGCCTCAGAGAATGCTACTGTGATCCGATCATTACCCTTATTAATGTACTTGAAGAGGTATTTCACTGCCCGGGTTTGATTACACCACTCAACATTAATGTGAGCCCCATACTTGAGCAGTAATGTACGGTTATGAGGGATGACAAATCTATTATCAAGAAGAGTCTCATTCTTCATTACACTCCTTCCATTGTCTCTTCTTCTGTAAATGGGAAATCCACTTCCATCAATTGTAGTACGTCTCACAAATTTCTTCGGAAAGTGTTTCGTGCAGTGACCATTCTCCATACACGGCGAAGATTTGTTCAGAACCCCACAAGGCTCGTGCACCATTAACTCTTTGACAGCAACATAATAATCATGGTCATTTTTCTCATCCGGAATTTCAGCTGAGATGATGCTGTCAATGTCTGATGCCAATATAGTCATGTCCTTTCGCGTCAACCATAACACAATATGAGCATGTGGCAATCCACGTTTCTGAAACTCCACAGTGTATACAACTACATAGGATAGAATTATTTATGTGTTATTTTGTCATTGGATGAAATTATAGTTGTTTATCTTGAAGAAAAGTATTAATAGTAATGTAATTAAATAAAACTTTCACTAACTAATAAAAAGAATCAGCTCATACCTGCTTTAACTTCACCGAATAGTCTATTTTCTTTCAAGTCTTTTATGAGCATTTCAAGTTTGATCTTGAAGATTCTACAAATGATATCTGGACGATCATCCGGAGCAAGTCCTCTACACTCGACGTAGCGAACAATCTCAGGCCACTTTGGGTTACATGTAAACGTGATGAAGAGTTGTGGGTATCCTGTCCACCTGCAGATGCTCATCGCATCCTGGTAGTTTTGAATCATGTAACGTGCACTTCCCGTGAATGAGTTAGGAAGTACAATGAGTTGTCCCAATCTGGATCCGTCAGTTTCACCACGACCGACAGCATCAGCCAATCCCGTATATAGTTCACTTCGCAAGTCCTTTTGATGTAGTCTAATATATGCCAAACGACATGACTCAATCATGGTATATCCATCAACAATAAATTGCTGGAATAATCTCTTCGATCTCAATATGTAAGGGGACTCACTCTTCCTTTCTTGCAACCTGTATGAGAAGAACTCTTTCATTGTAACATGTTATCTTCCTCTTGTGGTAGCTTGAGATGCACGTGTCAGGTTAACATCCTCTCTAAAACCATCTTGACCATAGGGGAAGAGTAACGGATATTGTAATCCTAGAAAAGAAGGATTCAGTTCCGATATAATTTGAAACTTTCCTGATTTCTTCTGAAGAACAACATCTCTCTCTTTTCGATTCAAACTAAAGTCCCCCTCTATAAGTGCGGCTACCTCACGAGCGGTAGGGGTATTGTAAGTACGTCCATCTGAATTCCTTTTACCAATAAGCTTCATCTTCAAAGAGATAGAGTTAGTCTCATTAAACCTATCACGGGCCATCCTAAATGACTGTGCGTGAACATTGTACGCATCCAACATATCTCGCAAATCGGATACTAATGTATCATGTAATGCGGTTCCACCGGAGGTCCTAAAATGCATATAGCCGAAATTGTTAATACTGAAATTGAAATTTTAATATAGAAAACAATTCATATATTGAAGGTAGTATAGTTTTAGTTTAAATAAAAAAAAAGAGTAACTTTCAAAAATATGTATAATGATTAACTAACCTCACAGATGAGTTCACACCCTTTCAGGTTACAATTCCATGAAGGAACTAAGGTTAAGTGTCAGGAATTAAAAGACCATAAGGACTTTCCCCTACACATTTATAATTTTACTTCTTTCAACGATATTCACAACTGCCCTGATGGAAAAAGTACTACAGATCTCATTGGTAAGAGTTTAGTAATATAATAATACTTATATGTAGAACTTTATAATAAACACAAATCATATAACTGCATCTATATATGGTCACCTAAATGAGTTTCTATTTCTTATTTTTAGATGTAATTGGTGTGTACAATCCCCTCGACAAATTCAGTAAGCATTATACCGATTCAGGATCAACATACACTAACTTTTATATTCGGGACATCGAGTTAAGTATATCAAATTGGCCCCGTTTCCAATTGTATGTTATTAAGATTATCTATATTTATCTTTCATTCTCATTCTTACGCTTATCTTCTTTCTTTATAGGAATAAAAGTCTCTTTTGTACTTTATGGAATGTGTATGTGGACCAGTTTGAGACGTATTTATCTCAACCGGGAACAAATCCAGTTGTTATCTTGCTACAGATGTGCCATATTAATCCAAAATATGGTTAATTACATGCATCTATTTCTTATCATTGAGACATTATTTTTATTTTTATAGTTTTTAGTTGATAAAAACATATGCAAATATATGGCTGTTTTAGGCAGATGTTCCTCAAACGGTGTAGCTACATCTTACCATGTGACAAAACTTCTTCTTGATGCTCATGTCCCAGACATAGAAGACTTTCGCCTTAGGTAAAATGATATCTAAAATATTTTTGTATTAGTTACCACTTTCAACATGTATTATTCTCAAGTCTATTATAGAATAATGTTGGGTTAAAAATGCACTAAAATCTTTATTCTGGTAATAGGTATCTGGAAACCACACGTAACACTTCTCAAGCAATAAGTCACAGTTCCTCTTTTGGTCCAGTAACCGTTGGTAGCGGTACAGAAATTGGCTTCACAATGCCATTGTCTGAATTGGAGAAAGCAGTCGAGGTAAACAAAAATACATTTTCAACGTTGTTATTCTACTTTGAAATGAAATCTGTACAACTTAGTGATTTGAAAAATGAACATTAATCTCTTAAAAGGTAATAGATCATTATAAGCTCAAGGATTAATAATTTGGAATGTAGTGATTCATTTGAGTATGTATACAGATGTGCATAAAATACATAAATTTACCTGTTACTAAAATTGTACCTACTGCTAATATGTACACTTTTATGTGATAATAGGTTCGTGGTTGTTGGTTCTATGGTCAAATAAGTTCCATAACAAGCTATTTCACATGGGCTTATCTTGGTTGTAAAATGACCAAATGTTATAAAAAATTGAGCAAGGCTGGGAATGGAGAATTAGTATGCGACAAGTGTGGGATTCAAGTTGCTGATGGAGAGGGTGTTTGGAGATACAATTTAAGACTCAAGGCTAACCATAACAATAATTCTGCAAATTTGGTTTTCTGGGATGCTGTGAGCAATCGTTTGATTGGAAAATCTGCTGGAGATTTCCCCAGTCACTATTATGACATGGTAATGCTACCTCACAGTATACTTAATTTGCACAATTTTTTATCATTACAAATGCAAATCCATTTGATTTGATTTTAAATTTAGTAATATGAATAAATCCGACTTCAATATGTGCAATTACTCTGCATGTGTAGGAGAGGCTATCACCTTCAGGCTGCCCAGATGAAATAAAAGATTTGGTAGGTCGTGAGTTTGTCTTTAAAGTTGACCGTCAATCTGGCTCCCCTTTAAACGGAAAGAGTTATTCAATTGGTATGGTCTCAACCGATCAAGATAAAATTGAGGAGCTTAAGTCTGTTGGAGCCAATCAGTCTGGGAGACAGGTACAATTCTCTGTAATTTTACACTGACCAATGGTACACAAGATATGCACTTACATGAATTTATAATCCTATTAAATTCATTTAGGTATTCAATTATTATTGGAAAAATGATTTATTGTAGAGATAAACTTTACTTGGGAAATTGTGAAAAATATCACACGTTTTTCTTCAATCAAAATTTACAAGAATCAGTAAGTTCTTCACTTGATTATATTATTCCTTTCATTTTCCATGTTCACTACTCTTCTAAGAACTTGCTCATTTTTATAATAACTTTTTAATTTTAGACATTAAAATTTTATATGCTATACCACTTATGTATTTAATTTCACTTTTGGTTTGTTCATAGCAACTTTGGTCTGTTCCCAGCCAAACGCAGGTTCATATAAAACTTATCCACCTCCAGTTTAGAGGTAGTCTTCTTGAGTACAATTTTTGAAACTTCAGGCAAATTCTTTCACCTATTTTTCGAATTTAATCCCAATTAGTCCTAAAGTAATCAATTTGATGATTCTGGATACACACATTCATCAAAAGTTTTGGTGTTTAAAACATATACAAAGGAGTACTGCCTGAATAAATATGATGAATCCTAACTTACATTCTTAATTTAACGAAATAAAGTGTACTTGAGTAATCATAATGTGTTGATTATCTGAATGATTGGGCAGATTAGTTTGGTTAGTCTATGAACTCTCTCTTAATACGTATCTCTTTGTTAATAGTAATTATCTCTACTCTAATAGATTTCATTTTTATTCTAATTACGATTACATTTATTAAAACTATATGTAAGTTGTACATTAACTTAACACACATGAAGCACCAGAATGACAAGCTGCATTCAACACAACCAAGCTGTTAGGAAATGAACTCCCCAGAAGGAAAAGTTCTATTTTGATTATTTCCATGTAACTAAATCAAACTTTTGAAATTGCACTTTTGAAATTTAAAAAAATGTGTACCTTTCCCAATTAGTTATGTAACCAGTTACTGAATAAGTATCAAATGTCATACTCACATGTTAGATTGAATAAATATTCTTAGCAAAGAAGCCTGAAAGGCTGATTGTTATTTCTATAATAATTTAATAAACGTATTCTGAAGCAGGACTATTCAACGCTCATATAATTTAATGAGTGTACTGTGATGAGGATCTTAATGAGGTCTCCTTTTAAATGTTCAGGACTATAACTCTGATGAGGATCTTGATTTACCTTTTTCTTCTCCAGTCACAGTTGAATCTAATATAGTAAGTACTTACTGTTTATTTATCCATCCGAATATGTTTGACTCTTCACTCCTAATTGACAAATGTTTGCATGTAGACACCATCTTCAACTGAAGACGACATCATAATACAAACCACCCCTTCTTCAACATTAAAGAGGCCTTCAAACGTTGAGCAACATGTTGACTCTTCTACGCAGAGTTCAACAAATAAGAAACTCAAGGGAATCAAGATTGAAAAGCCGGATGCTTGAGCATTATCTTTTCGTTTACTTTGTTCTTTTACTTTTCGGAATTAATGTTATTTATCCTGTTTATTTGTGTTTTAGTAAGTTAGCTTCTGTTTCAGACACTAGATACAGTTCCTTTTATGAACGAATAATATTCATTTGCAATTTCTAAATGCAAATGATGAATCAATATGCCAAGCTCGACTGGAATAAATCTTTTCACTTCTATATACTTCGTATTATTTTTAGGCATCGTTGCTGGATTTTGATTACTCGAATTTCGTACTATGAACTATAAGTTATATCTCATGTATAAATTATACTCCGTATTGTTCTACTCTTATTGAAATTGCTTTATATTTAAATCATCTTAGATTCTGTAGATAATGTTTATTGACTATTGAGTATTGTTTTAAACAAAAGAGACAATGTCAATTGTTATGGACTCACTTCTTAAGAAGTTAAGGGATGTTCAATGACATACATACTTATTGTGTAACCAAGAAGAAAATAATCTTTCTGTGATAATGTTTTGAGAATGGCAGTCACTAGATGACATCACCTATCACTTTTGAGAATGGCAGTCACCTAGGCTTCATGGAGCTTGACTCCACAAGCATTTTTTAAGATAGAGTTGTTGGACCAGTTCCTGGTGAAGAGTCCAGGATTGGAGGAAGTCCAATTGGACTGAGCAAAGAATCACACGTATGGAGTTATTAAATAAACTCCATTGAGTATTTGGATAACTATGATCTTCAATTGATAATATTTATCCATATTGCTTAGAAGATTGTATTTCACTACAACTACACTACTATTATTGAAAGATAACGTTGAATGAGAAGAGGAATCTACTATAATTCTATCACACTCCTATATATACCTAATATCATGTTATATATTCTTAACAACCACAACACATATAAATTAAAGTTATGTTCCTTTCAAATTGCTTTGCTATCAACTTTTGTTAACAAAGAGATATTGTGAAGGCTTGCTCCTGCAGTATAATACTTCACGTATAGTCAGGAATTACTAAATGACCAACCTTCCTCCCTTGCGGTAATAATATGTCAAGTGTCATTTTTGTTCCTATGCTACAAGGCTTATACTTTGGCTCCACCATCTTCACTCCAATCATTCAGAACTTTTATATTACAAGGTTAGTTATACTGTCTTGGTTTGTATAGAATTTAGTTTTTTTAAATACCATCGTTGATAAACCAGAAGTTATGTTTTTATAAACGAAATTGAACTTCTATACAAAATCTCACAAAACAATTTTTATTATAATAAAAAAAACACTTATTTAAAAGTGTGACATTAGATATAAAAAAAACTCTTATTAGAGTTGGCCTCATATTCAACTAAATGTGGTAGTTATCTATTCTGTTAAATTTGTATCCTTAATCTAACTGTATCTATAATATTTGTATTTATATATATTTGAGGTATAATTAACCCTCAAATTTCCTTATATATTATTACTAATTAATTATATTTAAATCATAAATATACTGTTCCGAATAAAAATTCGGACTTATTAGACATTTCTGTTATTTTCAGAAAATTGTGAATAGAATTATAATAACCTTTTATTATTCAAGTATTAGTTGTACGAATCACGGGAATCTGCATACCATTACACCTTAATAAGATCTCATTTGATAAATCAATCCAATATATTTAGGTTTTCCATTTCAAGTACCAATAAATTTACACAATAAATCACGCATAAAATCATTTAGTAATACGTAGTATAAAATTTATAAAATGATTTTCTTAGTAATCCTGTGTATAGTAGACTTATTTTTAATTACAATAAAGGTTACAAGTATCATTACATTTCAGACTCTTCGTATGTTTTCTTACTATCACTATATTTGCATTTATGTACTTGCATTAGGCTTTAGATGCAGAAAGGCACGGAGTTAATAAATGTCCATGGAAAACGACCACTTGTGAGTGACCAGTCAACATATGAGGAAGATGTAGCTGGGTCTAGCGATTTTGACACTCTTGATTGTGGTATAGACCTAGATAATGAAGGTAAGATATTTGATTAAATAATTTGACATTAATGATAAATTGTTAAATGTCTATAGTTTATTCTTAGAGAGTATACTTCTTTTATTGGAGAGAAAATTGTAAAAGAAAATATTATACCTCAATAATTAAGTATCTTCTAATATTTCAATAAATCTAAAATTCAAGTTTTTAAATAAAGTATGGTAAAGTGGTAAACTAATACTACCTCTGTCTAAATGGACTTTGCACTCTTTGAATTACAAGAGAAATCACAATAATAAAAATTGTGGATGCATTTTGTGCTGATAGATAAATGATCAGAAAAATAAATTCTTTACTTTAATCGGAAAGTGACAAAGTTTTTTGGGACAACAAAAAAATGAAAGTTGGGAAAGGCCAATGAGACGGAGGGAGTACCATATACTCCGTACATTATATATGCACTAAAGTATTTTCGTATTATACTATACTTGCTCCGTTTCTTAAAGGTTACAACAATAGGATTTTTTCACTATTCACGTAGATTACTTTGACTATGATTTTCTACAAATATTTATAATCAAATTATTATGTATAAAATGTTTTTAAATTTCTATTAATGTAAATTTTCAAAATATTAACATTTTATAATTTTTATTATTACTTAATAATTATATAACTACAGTCAAAGTTGTTTGTTGGCAAACGTGAAAGTCAAAGTATTGCAACTATTTAAGAACGAAGGATAGTATTATATTGACAAACAATCAAATTTAATATTAATTCACACCTACATCTAAAATCTTAAACACAGTAAATGTGTACATATAATTTGTCATTTTTTCAGAGTTTGAAGATGAAGAAATGTTTGATGACTCAATTGATGTTGACTTGGGTGAATTTGAAAATAATGGTACGTAACAGTAAATTTTCACACACTGAACATATATGTTATTGCGGTGTGAAATGTGTTCGTATCCTAAATTGTTGGTCTGTGATATTTTTAATTTTTAATTATTCAATTTTGAACAGATGACAATGCTGAATACTTGTGTTTTCAAACACAAGGTACTTACCCCTACAACTATTTTTTACTCTATTTTTAATCACATTTTGATAGTTGAGAAACATCTTTATTTTTTATATATATTCAATATGAATAATTTTTGTAGCATATGTGGATCTTGGAGATGCTACTCATGAGTGCGAGTATTGTGGAGCCTTATTCTGGTATGCTGAAAGGGTAAAGAGACATTCTGTCAAGCAACGCCCAAAGTTTTCAATGTGTTGCAATCAAGGAAATGTTGTTCTCCCTAACATGCAGCAGCCCCCTAAAATTTTAAATGACCTCATTTTTCGCTCTGAGCATCGAAGTAAGCACTTTCTGGATAACATTCGTTCTTACAATTCTATGTTTTCGTTCACTTCGATGGGTGGGAGAACGGATAGAGATATAAATAGGGGTGGAACACCTTCAATATTCAGATTGAATGGTCAAAATTACCACAAGATCGGTAGTCTTATACCAAATGAAGGACAACGTCCCAAATTCTTACAGATGTATTTGACTGATCCAGAAGAAGAGGTTGCATCTAGAATCTCATCTGTGAGGTTAGTTAATCATTATACATATTTTTGAAAGTTACTCTTTTTTTTATTTAAACTAAAACTATACTACCTTCAATATATGAATTGTTTTCTATATTAAAATTTCAATTTCAGTATTAACAATTTCGGCTATATGCATTTTAGGACCTCCGGTGGAACCGCATTACATGATACATTAGTATCCGATTTGCGAGATATGTTGGATGCGTACAATGTTCACGCACAGTCATTTAGGATGGCCCGTGATAGGTTTAATGAGACTAACTCTATCTCTTTGAAGATGAAGCTTATTGGTAAAAGGAATTCAGATGGACGTACTTACAATACCCCTACCGCTCGTGAGGTAGCCGCACTTATAGAGGGGGACTTTAGTTTGAATCGAAAAGAGAGAGATGTTGTTCTTCAGAAGAAATCAGGAAAGTTTCAAATTATATCGGAACTGAATCCTTCTTTTCTAGGATTACAATATCCGTTACTCTTCCCCTATGGTCAAGATGGTTTTAGAGAGGATGTTAACCTGACACGTGCATCTCAAGCTACCACAAGAGGAAGAAAACATGTTACAATGAAAGAGTTCTTCTCATACAGGTTGCAAGAAAGGAAGAGTGAGTCCCCTTACATATTGAGATCGAAGAGATTATTCCAGCAATTTATTGTTGATGGATATACCATGATTGAGTCATGTCGTTTGGCATATATTAGACTACATCAAAAGGACTTGCGAAGTGAACTATATACGGGATTGGCTGATGCTGTCGGTCGTGGTGAAACTGACGGATCCAGATTGGGACAACTCATTGTACTTCCTAACTCATTCACGGGAAGTGCACGTTACATGATTCAAAACTACCAGGATGCGATGAGCATCTGCAGGTGGACAGGATACCCACAACTCTTCATCACGTTTACATGTAACCCAAAGTGGCCTGAGATTGTTTGCTACGTCGAGTGTAGAGGACTTGCTTTGGATGATCGTCCAGATATTATTTGTAGAATCTTCAAGATCAAACTTGAAATGCTCATAAAAGACTTGAAAGAAAATAGACTATTCGGTGAAGTTAAAGCAGGTATGAGCTGATTCTATTTATTAGTTAGTGAAAGTTTTATTTAATTACATTACTATTAATACTTTTCTTCAAGATAAACAACTATAATTTCATCCAATGACAAAATAACACATAAATAATTCTATCCTATGTAGTTGTATACACTGTGGAGTTTCAGAAATGTGGATTGCCACATGCTCATATTGTGTTATGGTTGACGCGAAAGGACATGACTATATTGGCATCAGACATTGACAGCATCATCTCAGCTGAAATTCCGGATGAGAAAAATGACCATGATTATTATGTTGCTTTCAAAGAGTTAATGGTGCACGGGCCTTGTGGGGTTCTGAACAAATCTTCGCCGTGTATGGAGAATGGTCACTGCACGAAACACTTTCCGAAGAAATTTGTGAGACGTACTACAATTGATGGAAGTGGATTTCCCATTTACAGAAGAAGAGACAATGGAAGGAGTGTAATGAAGAATGAGACTCTTCTTGACAATAGATTTGTCATCCCTCATAACCGTACATTACTGCTCAAGTATGGGGCTCACATTAATGTTGAGTGGTGTAATCAAACCCGGGCAGTGAAATACCTCTTCAAGTACATTAATAAGGGTAATGATCGGATCACAGTAGCATTCTCTGAGGCATCCGACAATCGTAAGGTAGAAAAGGTTGATGAGATCAAAATGTATTACGATTGTAGATATATCTCTGCATGTGAAGCGGCTTGGAGAATCTTTGGATTTCACATTCATTATAGGGACGTCGCAGTTGAACGTCTAAGCTTTCATCTCCCTGGGCAACATAGTGTGTACTATAATCCTAAAGAGTCTGTCAGTTCTGTTCTTAGACGTCCTACTATCCACACTACTAAGTTTCTAGCTTGGATGCATGCAAACAGTGTGTATCCTCAAGCTAGGAGCTTGACTTATGCTGAATTTCCTACCAAGTTCACGTGGAAAACCGAAACAAGAGAGTGGGTACCAAGACAAAGAAGCACCGCAATTGGAAGACTATACTTCATGCGACCTGGAGCCGGAGAGAAATATTATTTAAGGATGCTCCTTGGTGTCGTGAAGGGGGCCAGGAGTTTTGAAGAACTCAGAACAGTTGATGGAGTCATACACTCGACGTTCAGAGAAGCTTGCTCTGCACGTGGTATGTTAAATGACGATAAAGACTATATAGATGGACTTATAGAACAAAGTCATTGGGCAACAGCGCATGAACTTCGCGTCACATTTGTTCATCTTTTACTACAAGAGTCATTATCTATGCCCAGTATGGTTTGGGAGAAGTGTTGGCCATATCTATCTGATGATATACTCTACACTATTAGGAAGAATCTCAATGATCAAGGTATGTTTATTATTTAATGGCATTCCTAAAATTTAGATAAATTCAATAAATGCCAATATTAAGAGTGATGTAGATTTACAATATGCAAGATATTTTGAAATTAAAAATTACCTTTTCATATATATTATAGTTAACGATCATTATTCACTAATATCAAAAAATTGAAACTTTTTATTGTAATAAATTGCATATTGATCTCAGGGTAAAATTTACTCTTATGTCATAGATAATTTTTAAATATGAAGTACTTCTCTTAAAAAGTGTTCAAAAATAGTTCAATATATATAATTTAATAAACTATTTTTTAGATAGTAGTTGGTTTAATAATTTGTTTCCACAATTTCATATTTAAAGATGTGTTGTTTGTTTATGATACACACAAATTTAATTATTTAAGCATTTAGAAATTTAAAAAATATTCTAATTACTTCTTAAATTTATTAATATTAAAATTGCACTAACCATTATGTTTTTTACAGAACTGCAGCTTGATGAGAAGAAAATAAAGAATTATTGTTTGTTGGAAGTTGAAAAAATTCTACAACATCGTGGAAAGTCTCTATTCTACTATGACGGAATGCCTCGAGTGACGGATCTTGACATTCCCTCTCTCGATGATGTTTTGATACACGAGGAATTGAGATATGACAGACTTACTTTGGCGGAGGAACATGCTAAATTAATTTCCGCCTTGACGGAGGATCAAAGGCGTGTTTATGAGACAATAGTGAGTTCTGTAGAGGCCAACCGTGGCGGTGTGTTCTTCTTACATGGGCACGGCGGTACAGGGAAAACATATCTGTGGAAGACCTTATCAGCATATATAAGGCATCAAGGAAATATTGTGTTGAACGTAGCTTCAAGTGCGATCGCATCATTGCTCCTTCCAGGTGGAAGAACGGCACATTCCAGGTTCGCTTTTTTGGTTTAAAACTTATAACTCCAAATAAATACTAACAAAATGAATTGTAACTTCTAGGTTTAAAATCCCACTCACAGCAGCAGAAGATTCAACTTGCAACATAAAGCCAGGAAGTGCACTTGCGAAGCTAATTCAAATGACGAAATTGATTATTTGGGACGAGGCACCCATGATTAATAAGTACTGCTATGAAGCTCTTGATCGAACCATGCAGGATATTCTTCGACATTCATACGGTTGTGATGGGAGCAAACCTTTTGGTGGAAAGACAATTGTCTTTGGCGGAGACTTTAGACAGATTTTACCGGTAATTCCAAAGGGTAGCAGGCAAGAAATTGTGATGGCGACTTTAAACTCATCCTTCATTTGGCCCTTTTGCAAGGTACTAAGGCTAACGAAGAACATGAGAGTGCGAAGTGGATCAGACGATGTTAACTCTGCATACATAAAAAGGTTCATTGATTGGATTTTAAAGATAGGGGACGGAGTTCTAGGTGACAATGAGGATGGAGAATCATATATTGACATACCTGAAGAATTCCTCGTGCCTTGGATTTCTGATCCAGTTACTTCTATTGTCCAGAGTACATATCCCAATTTCTTAGCACAATGCACATCACCATCATATTTAATGTCAAGAGCAATACTTGTGCCAACAGTTGACGAGGTGGACAAGGTTAATGATTACATGCTCGCACAACTACCATCAGAGATGAAGACATATTTCAGCTCCGATTCTGCATCATTATCTGATTCTGATAGTAGTTTGTTGCAAGAGATCCATTCTCCAGAATTCCTTAATGGAATCAAATGTTCCGGAGTACCTAGCCATGAGTTCAAATTAAAAGTGGGTGCCCCTGTGATGCTTATGAGGAATCTTGATCAATCATTGGATTTGTGTAATGGCACTCGACTTTTAGTGACCCGACTTGGAAAGCATGTTATTGAGGCCCAAATGTTGTCAGGGCCAACTGCCGGCCAAAAACATTTCATTCCCCGTCTTACCTTGACTCCTTCTGATGTCAGACTGCCATTCACCTTTCAGCGTAGACAATTCCCTCTGATGGTTAGTTATGCTATGACTATAAATAAGAGTCAGGGCCAGTCATTGGAAAATGTGGGGATATTCTTACGGCGACCGGTTTTCACCCATGGGCAGCTTTATGTTGCTGTATCAAGAGTCACGAGTCCAACTGGTTTGAAGTTTTTGATATGTGACGATAATGGTAGACCGACAAACTCCACTTTAAATGTTGTATACAAAGAGGTCTTTAACAATCTGTCCCTGGCTGCACTGACAACAATAGTCCAAATTATTTCATCATTTTTCATCATTTTCATTTACCCGAGTGCCGCAAAGGCTCCCACCTATGGCGGGGTAGAACAATATCAATATTGAGGTTAAATCCATATGGTTTTTAATTATATTCTGGTTTGGATTTTTAAGTTTTACATAAATTTTAATATAGTTTTCGAATATGCAAACTTATTAAAATTAAATTAGTTATCAATATAGAG